ATTATCTCCAATAAAAGGATTGTTTTCCTATTCAACGTGTGGTGTTTTAAAGTCAGAGGGTTATTCCTGTCCTGGAGTGCAAGGCTAATTTAACTAATTTACAATGCCAAAAAACCTTCCAGCATAGTGCAGAGGAATGAGAAAGTACTCCATCAAAGGACTCGGGTGTTACAAATAAACGGTGAAGTGGCAGCTCCTTCATTATTATTTCATTCTTGATTATTTTTATGACAGAACCAATTCAGAACTGCCATTTATAATGAAATTTTGAAAGTTTTGTTAGAGTGCTGAAATTTTCACCACTGGAAGTTTAGCAACACTAACAAAACTTTCAAAATTTAATTATTATTTCATTATTGGTGATTTTTTTATGCTAGAACCGATTAGGAGCTGCCATTTATAATGAAATTCTGCGAGTTTTGTTAGAGTTCTGAAATTTTCACCACCAGAACTTTAGTTTTGTAAGTACTTTAGAACCACGGATTGACCAGGCCTAATATTTAGCTATTATAAAACCCAGCACTGCGTCTGTCAATTTTCTTTCTCTGAGAGTGGCGGGTGCATTCAGTCCCACTGAAAACGGATCGAAGAACGTGTTTAAGGTTCCAAACGAATTCGTGACAGACGGGGATCTCCACGACCGCCCTGTTCCAAAAGAAAGGCAACCAAGACTCGCTTGATCGTTCAGATTTGATGTGGCCTTTATTCCAGTCTCCAAAGCACTCGCCTCCCTCGCCTCCAAACAGAATAAAAACGGGGTCCCGTTCCCCGTGCAAACACACGAATCCCCCCGACCTTGCTCGCATTTCCCCTTCAACCTCCTCAAAAATGCTATTTACGCTGAACGGAGCATCCTCCTAAGAGGCTACACAGCAAACGCCCTAAAAACGTAGTATCTTTTATTTTTAAAGGGTGAGTTTTCCCCCGTTTTCCTCGTGACGGAATCGGCCTTTCGGGAGACGTTCGCAGCCTAAAAAATTAATCCGGAATCAGTGTCGTCGTTGTCGTTTTTAGCCGAGATTCCCAAGGCGGTAAAGAGAGCATTCCCACTCGTTTCCCAACACAAAATAAATTTTTTAAAATTCGGGGGTGGGGGGTAACAAGATGTCAGGCCCTTGTTGTGTATCTAGAACGGCCAATCTTTAGTGTAGGCCCAGGTCTTGGATTATCGAGGGTTGAGAAAATCCCAGTCGGCTCTAGTTGGGATCAGGATTCAGGGGGAGCGCGGAAAGGGACGGACCGGGAAACCTGCAATGGGTCTCGAAAGAACAAAGGGATGGAAAACGGATACCGGATGAGCGAAGGGATGCGAAAGAAAAGCTGCGATGGGTCTCGAAACAGCGAAGGGATGAAAAAGGAAAGCTGCGATGGGTCTCAAAAGAGCAAAGGGATGGAAAACGGATGGCGAAAGAGCAAAGGGATGAGAAAGGAAAGCTGCGATGGGTCTCGAAACAATGAAGGAATGAAAAACTGATAGCGAAAGAGCGAAGGGACGAGAAAGGAAAGCTGCGATGGGTCTCGAAAGAGCGAAGGATGGAAAACGGATACTGGAAGAGCGAAGGGATGCGAAAGAAAAGCTGCGATGGGTCTCGAAACAGTGAAGGGATGAAAAAGGCAAGCTGCGATGGGTCTCGAAASAGCKAAGGGATGRAAAACGGATRSCARAAGAGCGAAGGGATGMGAAAGRAAAGCTGCGATGGGTCTCGAAASARCGAAGGGATGRRAAAMGGATRSCRRAAGAGCGAAGGGATKAGAAAGRAAAGCTGCRATGGGTCTCGAAAAATGAATGATGGAAAACGGATAGCGGAAGAGCRAAGGGATGAGAAAGGAAAGCTGCTATGGGTCTTGAAAGAATGAATGATGGAATAYGGATACCGGAAGAGCGAAGGGATGAGAAAGGAAAGCTGCGATGGGTCTCGAAAGAACGAAGGGATGGGAAAAGGATGGCGAAAGAGCGAAGGGATTAGAAAGAAAAGCTGCGATGGGTCTCGAAAGAGCAAAGGGATGGAAAACGGATACCGGAAGAGCGAAGGAATGGGAAAAGGATGGCGAAAGAGCGAAGGGATTAGAAAGAAAAGCTGCGATGGGTCTCGAAAGAGCAAAGGGATGGAAAACGGATACCAGAAGAGTGAAGGGATGAGAAAGGAAAGCGGTGATGGGTCTCGAAAGAGCGAAGGAATGAAAAACGGATGGTGAAAGAGCGAAGGGATGAGAAAGAAAAGCTGCGATGGGTCTCGAAAGAGCGAAGGGATGGAAAAAGGATAGCGGAAGAGCAAAGGGATGAGAAAGGAAAGCTGCGATGGGTCTCGAAAGAGCGAAGGGATGGAAAAAGGATAGCGGAAGAGCAAAGGGATGAGAAAGGAAAGCTGCGATGGGTCTCAAAAGAACGAAGGATGGAAAACGGATATTGGAAGAGCGAAGGGATGAGAAAGGAAAGCTGCGATGGGTCTCGAAAGAGCGAAGGGATGGAAAACGGATAGCGGAAGAGTAAGGAAAGCTGCGATGGGTCTCGAAAGAACGAAGGATGGAAAACGGATACCGGAAGAGCAAAGGGATGAGAAAGGAAAGCTGCGACAGACCTCAAAACAAGGGGGATGAAAGGAGGTGGAGCGTCCCCTGTAATTCAAAGATTATTTTGCCTTTCTTCCTCTCCGTTTCCACACCTTTTCGGTCACCCTTTACCCTTGACCAACACCTGGGATTTGTAGTTCTCTTCGGAAAGGGAATCCTGGGCCGCGTGCGAAGCGCAAAAGCCAGAAGCGGATCGAAACCAGGGTTTCGTTCCTTGGCCTAAGGGTCAAGGAAGGAAACCTACACTTGGAAAGGAATGATATTGTAATAATAATAATCATCATTAATTATTATTATTATCAATAATAATAATAATAATTATCAATAATAATTGTAATTATTATTATCAATAATCTTAATAATCATTATTATCAATAATCGTAATAATAATCATTATTATTATCAATAATAATTGTAATAATAATCATTATTATTATTATCAATAATAATAATCATTATTATTAATTATTATTATCAATAATAATAATAATAATAATAATATTGCATGATTTCGGCCTCCGCTTTTCCCTCTTGGGTCAATTATTGTTAGGGGAGAAAATACCAGTTACACAACCCTTCAAACTGGGGAATCTCACCATTATCTCTTCCGTTTGCGTGAGTATGACACCAAATCCGTTCGTCTGTCGTAATGGAGGCTTTGTTATGGGTTGCGACAAGGACACAACCCGTCGAAAAGGTCGGGGGGGGGGGGGGAAATTAAAAATATCCATCCAATACTGTTCCTTTAAAGGAGGATTACGATTCAAGAGTCAATTGATTGTTCGCCCGTCGTTTGAGTCCTGTCCTTGTAAAACTATATCTCCTTTTCAGCCAAGATGAGCTGAAAACCTTTGACCTTTGAAAGAGAAAGGATTGCGCTGATACTAATGCATATATAATATATATTAGGCATGTGCAATCCATGGTTCTAAATGGTTATAAAGTAATTACAAAACTAAAGTTCTGGTGGTGAAAATTTCAGCACTCCAACAAAACTTTCAAAATTTCATTATAAATGACAAATTTCATTATAAATGGGTTCTGTCATAAAAATCACCAAGAATGAAATAATAATGAAAATTTGAAAGTTTTGTTAGTGTTGTTAAAAGCTCTGGTGGTGAAAATTTAAGCACTCTAACAAAACTTTCAAAATTTCATTATAAATGGCAGTTTCTAATGGAATCTGTCATAAAAATCACCAAGAATAAAATAATAATGAAATTTTGAAAGTTGTGTTAGCGTTGTTAAAGTTCTGGTGGTGAAAATTTCAGCACTCTAACAAAACTTTCAAAAATTCATTATAAATGGCAGTTCCTAATTGGTCACCAAGAATGAAATAATAATGATAACAAAAATGAAATAATAATAATAATAATAAAAATCACCAAGAATGAAAAAATAATGAAAATTTGAAAGTTTTGTTAGTGTTGCTAAACTTCTGGTGGTGGAAATTTCAGCACTCTAACAAAACTTTCAAAATTTCATAATAAATGGCAAATTTCATTATAAATGGGTTCTGTCATAAAAATCACCAAGAATGAAATAAGAATGAAAATTTGAAAGTTGTGTTAGTATCGTTAAAGTTCTGGTGGTGGAAATTTCAGCACTCTTAACAAAACTTTCAAAATTTCATTATAAATGGCAGTTCCTAATTGGTCACCAAGAATGAAATAATGATAATAAAAATGAAATAATAATAATAATAAAAATCACCAAGAATGAAATGATAATGAAAATTTGAAAGTTGTGTTAGTATCGTTAAAGTTCTGGTGGTGAAAATTTCAGCACTCTAACAAAAATTTCAAAATTTCATTATAAATGGCTTTTCCTAATGGGTTTTGTCCTAAAAATCACCAAGAATAATGAAATTTTGAAAGTTGTGTTAGTGTTGCTAAAGTTCCGGTGGTGAAAATTTCAGCACTCTAACGAAACTTTCAAAATTTCATTATAAATGGCAGTTCCTAATGGATTCTGTCATAAAAACTACCAAGAATGAAATAATAATGAAATTTTGAAAGTTGTGTTAGTGTTCATAAGTTCCGGTGGTGAAAATTTCAGCACTCTAACAAAACTTTCAAAATTTCATTATAAATGGCAGTTCCGAATTGGTTCTGTCATAAAAATCATCAAGAATGAAATAATACTGAAATTTTGAAAGTTTTGTTAGAATTCTGACATTTTCACCACCAGAACTTTAGTTTTGTAAGTGCTTTAGAACCATTTAGAAGCATGGATTGCTCATGCCTAATATATATATTTCCTTGGGTTTGGAGCTTTTGACGCCCTCGAAGAAGTGGCACGAGGGCTGCGCGTCGTTCCAAAATCGAGAATCGTTTTCGGCATCTTCTCCTCGGGAATATCGTTGTTAAGGCTAAACCGCAAAAATAAGAAGTTGCCAAAAACGTCGCTTCCTTTCCTTTCCTTTTCCACAGAGTTCGCACTTTCTCGGAAAATCTTGGAAAATCCAAATGTGTGTTGTTTTGTGTTGAATTCCGACGCAATTCCCGTGTAACGAAAGGCGTCCCCCTTTTTTTGGCCTGCGGACGGGCGCCGGACCCGACGGGGGGTCCCCCCCCCGAAGAGGACAACAGGGGCGATTTTAGTTGGCGATTTTCTCGATCTCGTCCAAATCGTCGGTGTCCAGTTTGTGGATCTTCTTATCTGTGTGAGAAAAAAAAAGAGATATAAGTGGAAAGAAATGTGGATCTGGGAGAAACCGTCGTCAGGAAGACCGAGACGTCATGAGTTCGAAGACAGCCCGGGTCGGAGTGAGCTCCCGACCATTAGTAGTCTAGCTTGCTGTTGACCTATGCAGCCCAAAAGACAGCTGCATCTGTCAAGTAGGAAATGTAGGTACCGCTTTATGCAGGGAGGCTAATTTAACTAATTTGCGATGCCAAAAAATTTCCAGCAGAGTGCAAAAGAATGAGGAAGTACTCTATCAGTGTCACAAGTGGATAGTGAAGCGACAGCTCTCCCGGTGGCCAGAATCGAGCATACCCTTGTGATGATTCTTACCTCGTAGGCCGAAGTAGGAGCCTGAGATGTCGGTAAGCAGGCCTCAATTTTGAGAGTGTAAGCGAGTGTAAGCGAGGGAGGCGGACATCTTGGGAGTGTAAGAGTAGAAGAGGGGAGTAGACGCCTGTGTGCTTGTGTTGGATTGTTACACAAGTGGTTTGCTCTCTGAGGTCAGTTTAGCTGTTAGAGAGCTCTGTCTAGAGCAGCGGTTCTCAACCTGGGGGTCGCGACCCCTCGGGGGGTCATTCGGCCATTTTCAGGGGGTCACGAAGCCACATTGGCTGGCCACGCCCCCTCCAAAATGGCGGCCAACCCCTTCCAAAATGGCGGCCGACCCCCTCAGCCACTGGCATTCCTGCGCGTGAAGCCATCCGCCTGTCCCTCATCTCCTTCTGATGGCACAAGGAGGCGAGCGGCGGGCGCCCCTCGCCTGTATTGCTCTCCCGCCTCACGTGGTGGTGACCCCCAACCATGAAATTATTATTATTGCTACTTCCTAATTGTAATTCTGTTACTGTTATGGATCATAATGTAAAAATCTGAAACGCAGGATGTATTTTCATTCACTGGACCAAATTTGGCACAGATACCTAACAACAGAACTCCATGCCGTCATGTCAGCCACATGACCTTGGAGGTGTCTATGGACAACACCGGCTCTTTGGCCTAGAAATTGAGCACCAACTCCCAGAGTTGGACATGACTGGACTTAATGACAGGGGAAAACTTTTACCTTACGTTACCCAATATGCCCCAATTTGAATACTGGTGAGGTTGGAGGGAAAATGGATTGTGTCATTTGGGAGTTGTAGTTGCTGGGATTTATAGTTCACCTACAATTAAAGAGCATTTTGAACTCCACCAATGATGGAATTGGACCAAACTTGGCACACAGAACTCCCACAACCAATGGAAAATACTGGAAGGGTTTGGTGAGCACTGACCTTGAGTTTTGGAGTTGTAGTTCACCTGCATCCAAAGAGCATTGCAGACTCAAACAATGATGGACCTGGACCAAACTTGGCACGGATACTCAATATTCCGCAATGTGAACACTGGTGGTGTTTGGGGGAAATAGACCTTGACATTTGGGAGATGCAGTTGCTGGGATTTATCGTTCACCTCCAACGAAGATACAGGCAAGGGGCGCCTGACACGAGGCCTTGCGCCAAATGGCCCTCGCCCGCTCCGCACCCCTGCCTGACGGAGAGCAACGCAGTCGAGGGGCGCCCGTGGAGCCACTCGCCTGTCACATGCCTCCTTGTGCCATCAGAAGGAGATGAGAGACAGGCGGATGGCTTCGCGCGCAGGAATGCCAGTGGCTGAGGGGGTCGGCCGCCATTTTGGAGTGGGCGTGGCCAGCCAATGCAGCTTTGCGACCCCCAGAAAATGGCTGAATGACCCCCCGAGGAGTCGCGACCCCCAGGTTGAGAACCGCTGATCTAAACGCTCCGTGCCAGAATCATATTGGTGTCCAGTAGCGAGATTTATTTTTGAGATACCAGTTCATGATTCTTTAAAATGGTGCCAGCAGGTGGAATATATTAGAAAATATAATCCCCCAGGATCCAGGATTCTGACTTTGTTATAACCCTCGTGAAGCCGGAAAGCTGGAATGTTAAATTGCCGCCGTACCTGTCTATATTGGCATTTTATTTATTTATTTACAATCTTTCTATGCCGCCCTTCTCACCCTGAAGGGGACGCAGAGTGGCTTACAGGGATATATTACATACAATATATTATATCATTAGCATAGTACAATATCAGTATTAAACATTGCTATATTGCACCATACCACTATATCGTAATATTATTAGTAATATTACATTACATCTATATAAATAAAAATGTAATGTTCGTTTGTGATATTAACAGAACTCAGAAACCACTGGGGGAATTGACTGGTTGCCCTGACACGACAAATAAATAAAGCTTTATTATTATTATTATTATTGCCCAAAAGCAAGGCGCTGGCTGCTGGAGCTGATGAACAACTGCACGGCATCCTGTCAGATCCCCAAAATCTGGAGGAAAGCAAGAGTCATCGCCATCTTGAAGCCACGCAAAGACCGTAATGATCCAAAAAGCTACAGACCAATCTCCCTGTTGTGCCACCTCTACAAAGTTCTGGAGAGACTTATTTTGCATAGAATTACGGAAAAATAGACCCATGTCTGATTCCACAGCAAGCTGGCTTCAGGAAAGGCAAAAGCTGCACATCGCAAGTGCTGAACCTGACTCAGCACATAGAAGATGGCTTTGAAAGGCAGCAGATCACCGGAGCTGTCTTCATAGACCTGTCAGCAGCCTATGAGACTGTGAACCACCACTGCCTCCTCCTGAGAAAAATGTATAATATCACAAAGGACGACCACCTCACCCGCCTCATAGGAAACCTGCTACAAAACAGGAGCTTTTTTGTTGAGTTCCAGGGCCAGAGAAGCAGATGGCGGAAACAGAAGAATGGGGCCAGCCTCAGGGGAGTGTGCTTGCTCCATCCATGTTCAACATCTACACAAATGACCAGCCACTGCCAGAAGGGACAGAGAGCTTCATCTATGCTGATGACCGTGCCATTACTGCTCAAGCAAGGAGCTTTGAGTTGGTAGAACAGAAGCTTTCCGAAGCTCTAGGTGCTCTTACTGCCTATTACAAGGAAAACCAGCTGATCCCTAATCCTTCTAAAACACAGACATGTGCCTTTCACCTTAAGAACAGACAAGCATCCCGAGCTCTGAGGATTATGACCTGGGAAGGAATCCCACTGGAGCATTGCAGCACACCCAAATCCCTGGGAGTCACTCTAAACCGTGCTCTGACCTACAAGAAGCACTGCCTGAACATCAAGCAAAAAGTGGGTGCTAGAAACAATATCATACGAAAGCTGACTGGCACAACCTGGGGATCACAACCAGACACAGTGAAGACATCGGCCCTTGCGCTGTGCTACTCTGCTGCTGGGTACGCATGCCCAGTGTGGAACACATCTCACCACGCTAAAACAGTGGATGTGGCTCTTAATGACCCACAGGATGTTTACGCCTCACACCACTGGAGAAATTACACTGCTTAGCCGGTATTGCACCACCTGACATCCGCCGGGAAGTTGCAGCCAATAGTGAAAGGACCAAGGCAGAGACATCTCCAGCTCATCCCGTTTGGATATCAGCCAGCACGTCAACGACTTAAATCCAGACATAGTTTTCTAAGATCTACAGAAACACTCGCTGGAACACCCCAGCAAGCGAGAGTCCAAAAGTGGCAGGCCCAAACCCAGCACCTCAATCCATGGGTGATACCAGATGAGAGACTCCCCCCTGGGCACACAGAAGACTGGGCGGGACCTTACTGAAATGCTCCTGGATCCTGTTGAGGATGTTCATGCTGTGCTTGCTGTCCACCATGTTGATGGCCAGGCCCCGCTTGCCGAAGCGCCCCGTGCGGCCGATGCGGTGGAGGTACGTCTCGTTGTCGGGATTCCCATCCTTGTCCACCGGGAGGTCGAAGTTGATGACCACCGAGACCTGCTCCACATCAATCCCTGCAGCAGCAGGAGGAGGAGGAGGAAAGGGGTCGGAGGTGGCTTCCCTTGCATCCTCGGCTTGGGGGGGACCCCCAGGACCCCCAGGGGCCACCCAATCCAACCCCCAGGAAACACACACCACAATGACGCAGCGTCAGGAACCCAAAGGACGGAGTGAGGAAAAGGACTGAAATTTGCCTTTCCTCATGGCTTCCCGATACTGAAGCGTGAGAGGTAGGGTTGGTTGAAACCAGGTTAGATCAAACCACTATTTGAACCAGGTGGGATCAAACCATGGTTGGATTAAAACAGGATGGTTTGAACCACCATTTAAACCAGGTTGGACTGAACCATGACTTAAACCGGATTCGACTGAACCACCATTTAAACCAGGTTGAACTAAACCATGACTTAAACCAGGTTGGATTAAAACACAATTTAAGACAGGTTGGATTGAACCACAACTTAAACCAGATTGGATTGAACCATAACTTAAACCGGGCTGGACTAAACCACCATTTAAACCAGGTTGAATTGTACCACCATTTAAACCGGATTGGATTGAACCACGACTTAAACCAGGTTGGATTGAACCATGATTTAAACCAGGTTGTATTAAAACACCATTTAAGACAAGTTGGATTGAACCATGACTTAAACCAAGTTGGATTTGAATAACCATTTAAACTAGGTTGGATTGAACCACTATTTAAACCAGGTTGGACTAAACCATGTCTTAAACCAGGTTGGATTAAAGCACAATTTAAGACAGGTTGGATTGAACCATGACTTAAACCAGGTTGGATTTGAACCACCATTTAAACCAGGTTGGATTGAACCATGATTTTAAACCAGGTTGGACCGAACCACTACTTAAACCAGGTTTTATTTGAACCATCATTTAAACTGGATTGGATTGAACCACCATTTAAACCAGGTTGGACTAAACCATGTCTTCAACCAGGTTGGATTAAAACACAATTTAAGACAGGTTGGATTGAACCATGACTTAAACCAGGTTGGATTAAACCACCATTTAAACCAGGTTGAATTGTCCCATCATTTAAACTGGATTGGATTGAACCACGACTTAAACCAGGTTGGACTGAACCACCATTTAAACCAGGTTGGATTGAACCATGATTTAAACCAGGTTGTATTAAAACACAATTTAAGACAAGTTGAAATGAACCATGACTCAAACCGAGTTGGATTTGAACGACCATTTAAACTAGGTTGGATTGAACCACTATTTAAACCAGGTTGGACTAAACCATGTCTTAAACCAGGTTGGATTAAAGCACAATTTAAGACAGGTTGGACTGAACCACCATATAAACCAGGTTGGATTGAACCACTATTTAAACCAGGTTGGACCAAACCATGTCTTAAACCAGGTTGGATTAAAGCACAATTTAAGACAGGTTGGATTGAACCACCATATAAACCAGGTTGGATTGAACCACTATTTAAACCAGGTTGGACTAAACCATGTCTTAAACCAGGTTGGATTAAAGCACAATTTAAGACAGGTTGGACTGAACCACCATATAAACCAGGTTGGATTGAACCACTATTTAAACCAGGTTGGACCAAACCATGTCTTAAACCAGGTTGGATTAAAGCACAATTTAAGACAGGTTGGACTGAACCACGACTTAAACCAGATTGGATTGAACCATGATTTTAAACCAGGTTGGACGAAACCACAATTTAAATCAGGTTGGATTAAAGCAAGATATAAACCAGAATGGATTAAACCATGATTTAAACCAGGTTGGATTGAATTATTATTATTATTATTATTATTATTATTATTATTATTATTATTATTCTGGGAGGAGAAGTCCCAGAAGTGCCCAGGAGACCAGAGTTTGGCCATCAGAGATGTAAACAAAACCAAAATATGGGTTTCTTTCCCTGAGAGATAGTTGTGAGAGTCTCACCTCTGGCGCAGACGTTGGTAGTCACCAGCACCTTCTCCTTGCCCTCCCGGAAGCGCTCAATGACGGCGGCCCGCTGCTCCACCATCATCTCTCCACTCAAGAGGGCCACTTGGTGCCCTTCCTTCGAGAGCTCCCCGGCCAACCAGCCGGCCGTTTTGCGCGTCTAAAAGAAGGAGGAAAGAAAGGATGTTTTGGAGGGGAAGGGAAACAAGGGCGGACATGCCATGGAGCACGGCAGTACGTTCCACTCACATGGCAGAAGATCATGGCCTGGGCAATGGTGATGGCGCCGTAGATGTTGCAAAGGGCGTGGAACTTCTCCTCCCGGCTGTTGCAGAGGACGTAGTACTGCTTGATGGTGTCCAGCGTCTCCTCCTCCCGCTTCAGCTTGATGATGTTGGGGTCCGGGACCACCTTCTGCGCAAACTTCCAGACCGAGTCTTCGAAGGTGGCCGAGAAGAGGAGCATCTGGCAGTCCCGGGGGAGCATCCTGGAGAAGTGATGGACCATTAAAGATCGTATCATGAGTGATGGACCTCAGACTAAAGGCCATGACTGAAGGACCACTGAAGGCCATGAGTGACGGACCATTGAAGGCAATGGGTGATGGACTACTGAAGTGGTGGATCATTAAAGATTGTATCATGAGTGATGGGCCTCAGACTGAAGGCCATGAGTGCAGGACCACTGAAGGCCATGAGTGATTGAAGGCAATGGGTGATGGACTACTGAAGTGATGGACCATTAAAGATCATATTATGAGTGAAGGCCATGAGTGATGGACCATTGAAGGCAATGGGTGATGGACTACTGAAGTGGTGGACCATTCAAGATCGTATCATGAGTGATGGACCACAGACTGAAGGCCATGACTGAAGGACCACTGCAGGTCATGAGTGATGGACCATTGAAAGCAATGGGTGATGTACTACTGAAGTGCTAGACCATTAAAGATCATATTATGACTGAAGGTCATGACTGAAGGACCACTGAAGGCAAAGAGTGACAAACCATTGAAAGGAATGGGTGATGGACTTCTGAAGTGGTGGACCATTAAAGGTCCCGAGTAATGGACATTGAAGGGATGGACCACTAAAAGTCACAAGTGATGGACCATTGAAGTAATGCACCATTTAAGACCATGAGGAATGAACCACTGAAAGGATGGACCACTAAAAGTCGTAGGAGACAGACCTCTGAAGTCATAGACCATTAAAGGTCCTGACTGATGGACCATTGAAGGTCATGAGTGATGGATCACTGAAGGCTAAAGATGATGGACTATTGAAGGGATGGATCATGAAGGTCAAGTGATGCACACTGAAGGGATGGACCACTAAAAGTCCACTAGCCGAGGGGCCCCCATAGAGGTCGTGGTGGGAAGGAGGAGATGCGGCAAAAGGAGACCTCGAATTCGGCTAATTCGGACCGCTTATCAACATTAATAATTCCAAATCGGTCTCCTAAGGTAAATTGGTGTAACCAGGTGAGCGGGACCTCTGGATTGAAGGTGGTGCTGCTGAACGCCAGATCTGTCAACGGAAAAACGACCTTTATCCAGGATTTAATCCTGGATGAGCGGGCAGATCTGGCGTGCATTACGGAGACCTGGTTGGATGAAGCTGGGGGGGTGAATCTGACCCAGCTTTGTCCCCCAGGGTTCTCCGTACAGCACCAACTGAGATCCGGAGGACGGGGAGGCGGGGTTGCAGTGGTCTATAGAGATTCCATCCATCTGACCAGGAGCCCCATCCCGCAGACCACAAATTTTGAATGTGTCCACCTAAGGGTGGGTGACCGGGACAGAATAGGGATTCTGCTTAGTGTACCGTCCACCTCGCTGCACTACAGTCTCCTTACCTGAGCTAGCGGGGGTGGTCTCAGGCCTGGCATTGGAATCCCAGTGGCTCCTTGTGCTGGGGGACTTCAATGTCCATGCCGAGGCGGCCCTTTCAGGAGCGGCTCAGGACTTCATGTCTGCCATGGCAACCATGGGGCTGTCCCAACAAATATCTGGCCCCACCCACTGTGCTGGACATACATTGGACTTGGTTTTCTGCCAGGGATGGGAGCAGGGTGGCGGTGTGGAGGAGTTGTCCATCTCTCCGTTGCCATGGACTGACCACTTCCTGATCAGATTTAGGCTCACTGCGCCCCCTAACCTCCGCAAAGGTGGAGGACCCATTAAGATGGTCCGCCCCAGGAGGCTTATGGATCCGAACGGATTCCTGACGGCTCTTGGGGATTTCCCCGCTACCTCGGTAGGTGACCATGTCGAGGCCTTGGTCGCTCTCTGGAATGGGGAGATGGCCAGGGCAATTGACGTGATCGCTCCGGAACGTCCCCTCTCAAGTAGCCGAGCTAAACCAGCCCCTTGGTTTACTGAGGAGCTGGCAGTGATGAAGCGAAGGAAGAGGGTTCTAGAGAGCGTGTGGCGATCGGTCCCAAGCGAGTCAAACCGAGCACGGTTTGTGTCCTTTTTGAGGGCATATGCCGCGGCAATAAAAGCCGCAAAGAAAACTTTCTTTGCGGCCACTATTGCGTCTGCAAAGAACCGTCCGGCGGAGTTGTTTCGGATTGTCAGAGGTCTTTTAACTCCCGCCACCTCAGGCGGGAGCCCTGACAATTCGGTCACGCACTGTGAAGCATTTGCTCGGTTCTTTGCAGACAAAGTCGCTTTGATCCGTTCTGAGCTGGACACCATGTTAAATGCAGTCTCTGTGGATGTGACACGAGCACCTGCTTGTCCTATTTTGATGGATTCTTTTCAGTTTGTGAAGCCCGAGGATGTGGACAAGATACTTGGAGGAATGAGGCCCACCACGTCCATCCTAGACCCCTGCCCATCCTGGCTTCTGAAAGAGGCCAGAGGGGGATTGGCTGAGTGGGTAACGGTGGTGGTTAATGCCTCCCTTCGGGAAGGCAAGATTCCAGCGAGCTTAAAACAAGCTATTATAAAACCGCTGTTGAAGAAACCATCACTGGACCCCACTAAATTTGACAACTTTCGGCCTGTTTCCAATCTCCCCTTTTTGGGCAAAGTCATGGAAAGCGTGGTGGCCTCACAACTCCAGGTATTCTTGAGAGACACGGATTTTCTGGATCCGGCACAGTCTGGTTTCAGACCGGGACATGGTACTGAGACGGTCTTGGTCGCCTTAGTGGATGATCTGCGCCGGGAGCTAGACAGGGGGAGTGTGTCCCTGTTGGTGCTCCTGGACCTCTCAGCGGCCTTCGATACCGTCGACCACGGTATCCTTCTGGGGCGCCTTGCGGAGATGGGTCTTGGGGGCACTGCTCTGCAGTGGCTCCAGTCATTTCTGGAGGGTCGTACCCAGAAGGTGTTATTGGGGGACTCCTGTTCAACACCACAGCCTTTGACCTGTGGGGTTCCACAGGGCTCTATACTGTCCCCCATGCTGTTTAATATCTACATGAAGCCGCTGGGTGAGATCATCCGGAGTTTCGGGGTGCGGTGTCATCTGTACGCAGATGATGTCCAACTTTGTCACTCCTTTCCACCTGCTACTAAGGAGGCTGTCGAGGTCCTGAACCGGTGCTTGGCCGCTGTGACGATCTGGATGAGGGCGAACAAATTGAAATTGAATCCAGACAAGACAGAGGTACTCCTGGTCAGTCGCAAGGCCGAACAGGGTATAGGGTTACAGCCTGTGTTGGACGGGGTCGCACTCCCCTTGAAGGCGCAGGTTCGCAGCTTGGGTGTGACCCTGGATTCATCATTGAGCCTGGATCCCCAGGTTTCAGCGGTGACCAGGGGAGCATTCGCACAGCTTAGGCTCGTGCGCCAGCTGCGCCCGTACCTCGGGAAGTCTGACTTGGCCACGGTGGTACACGCTCTGGTCACATCCCGCCTTGATTACTGCAACGCTCTCTACGTGGGGCTGCCCTTGAAGACGGCCCGGAAGCTTCAGCTAGTCCAGCGCGCGGCAGCCATGTTACTAACAGGAGCGGGACGCAGGGAGCACACAACGCCCTTGTTGTTCCAGCTCCACTGGCTGCCGATCTGCTACCGGGCCCAATTTAAGGTGCTGGTGTTATCCTACAAAGCCCTAAACGGTTCTGGCCCAAAATACCATCTCGGCCTATGAGCCCACGAGGGCCTTGAGATCGTCTGGGGAGGCCCTTCTCTCGATCCCGCCTGCTTCACAGGCACGTCTGGCGGGGACGAGAGAGAGTGCCTTCTCGGTGGTGGCCCCCCGGCTGTGGAACACCCTCCCTGTTGACATCAGACAGGCGCCCTCCCTTATGGCTTTCCGTAAGAGCCTAAAGACCTGGCTATTTGAGAAGGCATTTAACTGAGTGCTACATTAACTGGTAATGACAACTGGAACGGAATATGGATTATGAGATTGGTTATGATTCTATGTTGTGACGATGCGGATTAGTTTAGTGTAATTTAGATTAGTGTGTATTATTGTTACATTGATTTTTTTTTTTTTGTTGTGCTTTATTGTAAACTGTTTTTATATGTTGTACACCGCCGCGAGTCGCCCTAGGGCTGAGAGCGGCGGTCAACAAATGCAGCAAATAAATAAATAATAAATAAATAAAAAATCATGAGTGATTGACCACTGAAGTTATGGACCACTGAATGTCACAAGTGATGGACCATTGAAGTTATGGACTGCTTAAGGTCATGAGTGACGGACCATTGAAGTCATAGACTATTAAAGGTCATGAGTGATGGATCACTGAAGGCTATAGGTGCTGAACTATTGAAGGGGTGGACCATGAAGGTCCCGAGTGATGGACATCGAAGGGAGGGACCACTAAAAATCATGAGTGATTGACGATTGAAATCATGGATGATGGACTACTGAAGTTATGGACTACTGAATGTCATGAGTGATGGACCTTTGAAGTTATGGACTGCTTAAGGTTATGAGTGATGGATCATTGAAGGCTATGAGTAATGGGCCATTTAAGGCTATGAGTGATGGACTATTGAAATGTTAGGTCATTAAAGGTCATCAGTGATGGACCACTAAAAGTCACTATTGAAGTCATGAGGGATGAACCACTGAAAGGATGGACCACTAAAAATCATAGGAGACAGACCTCTGAAGGGATGGACCATTGAAGGTCATGAGTGATGGATCACTGAAGGCTATAGGTGATGGACTATTAAAGGGATGGACCATGAAGGTGCCGAGTGATGGACATTGAAGGGACGGACCACTAAAAATCATGAGTGATTGACGATTGAAATCATGGATGATAGACCACTGAAGTTATGGACCACTGAGTGTCACAAGTGATGGACCATCGAAGTTATGGACTGCTTAAGGTCATGAGTGATTGACCATTGAAGGCTATGAGTAACGGACCGTTTACTTCAATAAAGTGTTAGGCCATTAAAGGTCACGAGTGATGGATCACTGAAGGCTATAGGTGATGGACTATTGAAGGGATGGACCATGAAGGTCCTGAGTGATGGACATTAAAGGGATGGACCACTGAAGTTGAAGGCTTCAAGTTGAAGGCTATGGGTGATGGACATTGAAGGGATGGGCCATTGAAGGTCATGGGTGATGCACCATTGAAGTCATAGACCATTAAAGGTCATGAGTGATGGATCACTGAAGGCTATAGGTGATGGACTATTGAAGGGATGGACGATGAAGGTCCTGAATGATTGACATTAAAGGGATGGACCATTGAAATCATGAACCATTGAAGGCTATGGGTGATGGACATTGAAGGGATGGGCCATTGAAGATCATGGGTGATGCACCATTGAAGTCATTGAAGACCACTGAAGGCCATGAGTGCTAGACATTGAAGGGATGGGCCACCAAAACTAATGAGTGGTGGACCACTGAAGTGATAGATCATTAAACGTCATGAGTGACGGACAACTGACATGATGGACCACTGAAGGTTATGTGTGATGCACCATTGAAATCAAAGCCCATTGAAATCATGGACCACTGAAGCTATGGATTATTGAAGGATATGGGTGTTGGACATTGAAGGGATGGACCACTGAAGTCGGGAAAGGGGACTTCCTGAAGGTTAGAACTGCTCAACAGTGAAATAGGCTGCCTGGGAGTTCAGTAGAGGCACCATCCATGGAGGTTTTTAAGCAGAGACTGGATGGCCATCTGTCGGGGTGCTTGGATTGTGTCTTCCAGCCTGGCAGATGGCCCTTGAGGTCTCTCCCCACCCTGAGATCCTGCCCTTACCTCTGGATCCGGATACTCTGGTCCTGGTGGCCCTGGGTGGCAATCATGACGTCCGCCTCATCCAAGACGAAGACCCGGATCTTCTTGGGATCAATGAACCTCAGCTTGGAGCACCAGTCAAGGACAGTGCCCGGAGTGCCAATGACGATCTGCTCTGCAATCTTCTGGCCGCGCTCCACTGGGAAAAGAGAGGGGGAGGCTCTTGGAGAACAGCAAGAGCTGAGGTTCTTAGAAGGTGTCCAGCAGAAGCTCAACTGGGATGAATACACGGTTGGTATGTTTGGTCTTCTACCATCTCTGGCAACCGATCCTACCTGTGTATCCATCGCTCTCTAGCACAGTGGTTCTCAAGGTGTTTTGGCCTTCAACTCCCAGAATTGGCTGGGATTTCTGGGAGTTGTAGGCCAAAACACCTGGGGACCCACAGGTTGAGAAACACTGCTCTATACCTACCTATCATCTATCTCCATTTACTTCTCTATTCATTCATACAAACATACATTCTATCTCCTCTTTCTCATATCTATCATCTCATCTATCCTCCTCAAATCATAAACAATGAGACAGACAAACACAAGCAAAGGCAGAGGCTTCGCCTTTCATTTCTGGCCTTTACAATCAAATACAATGAGAAACACAAACAAAGGCAGAGGCTTCTCCTTTCATTTCCGGCCTTTACAATCATATACAATGAGACAGACAACCACAAACAAAGGCTTCTCCTTTCATTTCCTGCCTTTATAATCGTATACAATGAGACAGACAAACACAAACAAAGGCAGAGGCTTCTCCTTTCATTTCCTGCCTTTATAATCATATACAATGAGACAAGCATAAACAAAGGCAGAGGCTTCTCCTTTCGTTTCCGGCCTTTACAATCGTATACAATGAGACAGACAAACACAAACAAAGGCAGAGGCTTCTCCTTTCATTTCCTGCCTTTATAATCGTATACAATGAAGCAAACATAAACAAAGGCAGAGGCTTCTCCTTTCATTTCCGGCCTTTACAATCGTATACAATGAGAAAGGCAGAGGCTTCTCCTTTCATTTCTGCCCTTTACAATTATATACAATGAGAAACACAAGCAAAGGCAGAGGCTTCTCCTTTCATTTCCGGCCTATATAATCGTATACAATGAGAGAGACAAACACAAACAAAGGCAGAGGCTTCTCCTTTCATTTCTGGCCTTTATAATTACATACAATGAGAAACATAAGCAAAGGCAGAGGCTTCTCCTTTCATTTCCCGCCTTTACAATCGTATACAATGAGACAGACAAACACAAGCAAAGGCAGAGGCTTCTCCTTTCATTTCCTGCCTTTATAATCGTATACAATGAGACAGACAAACACAAACAAAGGCAGAAGCTTATCCTTTCTTTTCCGGCCTTTACAATCGTATACAATGAGAGAGACAAACACAAACAAAGGCAGAGACTTCTCCTTTCATTTCTGGCCTTTACAATCAAATACAATGAGACAGACAAACCCAAACAAAGGCAGAGGTTTCTCCTTTCATTTCTGGCCTTTATAATTACATACAATGAGAAACACAAGCAAAGGCAGAGGCTTCTCCTTTCATTTCCTGCCATTACAATCATATACAATGAGACAGACAAACATAAAGAAAGGCAGAGGCTTCTCCTTTCATTTCCGGCCTTTACAATCATGTACAATGAGACAGACAAACACAAACAAAGGCAGAGGCTTCTCCTTTCATTTCCGGCCTTTACAATCATGTACAGTGAGACAGACAAACACAAACAAAGGCAGAGGCTTCTCCTTTCATTTCCTGCCTTTACAATCGTATATAATGAGACAAACAAAGGCAGAGGCTTCTCCTTTCATTTCCGGCCTTTACAAACACAAACAAAGGCAGAGGCTTCTCCTTTCATTTCTGGCCTTTACAAACACAAACAAAGGCAGAGGCTTCTCCTTTCATTTCTGGCCTTTACAAACACAAACAAAGGCAGAGGCTTCTCCTTTCATTTCCAGCCTTTACAATTATATATGAGAAACACAAGCACAAGCAAAGGCAGAGGCTTCTCCTTTCATTTCCTGCCTTTATAATCGTATACAATGAGACAAACATAAACAAAGGCAGAAGATTCTCCTTTTGTTTCTGTCCTTTACAATCGTATACAATGAGACAGACAAACAGAAACAAAGGCAGAGGCTTCTCCTTTCATTTCCAGCTTCTGGAAGCGGTGTTCATCTCTGGCTCTGGGGAGGTGCTTTCCTCCATTTTCAAGCTGAGGAGCCTGCATTGTCACCCCCTATATTATTTAGGGTTCCATTTACTCGGGGGGGGGGGGCATGGGAGGGAACCAATTTGGACCCAAAGTATGATTTGAGCTCAGCTGGTACTCACACTTGTTGCCTCGAACGGCGTAGGCGAGCTTCAGTTCTGGGTAGAACTTGCCCATCTGTTCGATCACCTTCCCGGTCTGAAGCGCCAGCTCATACGTGGGGGAGAGGCACAGACACTGGGGAAAGAAGGAAGGAAGGAGGCGCCTCAGAGATAAAGCCTTTCAACACACCCTCAGCCCCCCATTCCCTGATGCGAAGGGCTTGGATGCTTACCTGCGGGTGCTTGTGATCGGGTTCCACGCGGCTGAGCATGGCCAGCACGAAGGCCGCCGTCTTGCCCGTGCCAGACTGGGACTGCGCAATCAGGTTCTGCGGGCTGGAGGCAACACCACACCGTGAGGAGGACAACCTCGAGAGGCTTTTGCTTCCAAAATTGAGATCCTATCATATCACCTATATGCTTAAAGACCTTGGACTATGGACTAGTATGCTGAGTATATACAATAAGTTTGCTAGTAAACCTGAGATGTTATTTTAAAGAAGACTACTTTGTTTTTGTCTCTCAAGTGTATATCTTTTGGGCAACCTCTGCTACCCAATATATTTTGTAATGGCATGTCTTTATCCTTGGCCGTTTAAAAACATGATTCTTCAGTCTAACAGCTGAGTTACCTGTGCGCCACTACATCAATGCTTGTGAATATCGCTTTCTCAAAAGATTGGAGAGAAAGAAGGAGGGAAGGAAAGGAGGAAAGAGAGAATGAAGCATGGAAGCAAAAAGTGAAGGAAGGAAAGAGATAGAGAAGGAAGAAAGGAGAGAAGGAAAGAAAAAAAGGGAAGGAGAGAGAGAGAGGGAAAGAAGAAGGAAAAACCGAAGCATGGAAGCAAAAAGCGAAGGAAGGAAGGAAAGAGGTAGACAAGGAGAAAGGAGAGGAAGAAGGAAAAGAAAGGGGGAAAGGAAAGAAAGGGTAGAGAAGGAAGGAAGGAGAGAAGGAAAGAAGAAAGGAGGAAGAGGGAGCAAGGAAGGAGAAAGAGAGAGAGAAGGAGAAGGAAGGAAGGAAGGAAGGAAGGAAGGAAGAAAGAAAGAGAGGAGGGAAAGGAAGAAGAAGGGAAAGACGAAGGAAGGAAGGAAGGAAGGAAGGAAGGAAGGAGGGAAGAAAGGAAGGAAGGAAGGAAGTAGGGAAGAAAGGAAGGAAAGAAGGAAGGCAAAGAAAGTGGAACTGCCACGAGAGGAGAGGAAGGAAGAAGGAGAGGAAAGGAGAAGGAAGAGGGAGAAGAAGGAGAGAAAGAGGGAGGGGAGAAGAAAGAAGGAAGGATGGAAGAGAGAGCAAAGGAAGGAAGGGAAAGGAGTAGAGAAGGAAGAAAGGAGAGAAAGGAAGGAAGGAAAGAGGTAGAGAAGGAAGGAAGGAAAGAAAGGAGAAGGAAACGAAAAGGGGGAAGGAAGGAAAGAGGTAGAGAAGGAAGGAAGGAAAGAAAGGAGAAGGAAACGAAAAGGGGGAAGGAAGGAAAGAGGTAGAGAAGGAAGGAAGGAAAGAAAGGAGAAGGAAACGAAAAGGGGGAAGGAAGGAAAGAGGTAGAGAAGGAAGGAAGGAAAGAAAGGAGAAGGAAACGAAAAGGGGGAAGGAAGGAAAGAGGTAGAGAAGGAAGGAAGGAGAGAAGGGAAGAAAAGGAGGAAGGAAGGAAAGAGGTAGAGAAGGAAGGAAGGAGAGAAAGGAGAAGAAAAAGAAAAGGGGGAAGGAAGGAAAGAGGGAGAGAAGGAAGTAGCGAAGGGAGGCATTAACCACCACCTTCACCCACTCGGCCAATCCCCCTCTGGCCTCCTTAAGAAGCCAGGATGGGCAGGGGTCTAGGATGCATGTGGGGCCTCATTCCTCCAAGTATCTTGTCCTCCTTGAGGTTGTTCTAGTTTTACCTCTCCCACGGCAATCTAGATCTAGGCTTGGCTGATGGGGGTCCTGCTAACGTTCCAAAAACTACTCTTGGGTCCCATTAGTAGGACATTACCAGTTCAAGGCTTTGTGTAGATTATACAACTTGGAGTCTTTGGGTCTGTGAAAACTGTTTCCCCCGAATGCTGTACTGAGAGGCTGTAAGTTCCCAGCCAGAGCTTTGGGACTATTTCTCCCCACGAAGCTGTTTCCCCCAAAGCTGTAGGGAATGAAGCTTTTCTGCAGGTGGAGCTGGTCCACGTCCTGTAGCTTAATTTCCTTCTGTAAGACTGAACTAAAAATGGCTCCCTCTCCTCCCAGGGCCCTGGGGAAAGGGGTGGAACCAAAACTTAACAATGATTGATGGGTCATTGGCCCTATATATTTATTTATTTATTTCGGGGTTCTTTTACCCCGCCCTTCTCACCCCGAAGGGGACTCAGGGCGGCTTGCAAAAGCAAAGGCACAATTTGATTCCTGCATCACAAAAACAATCAAACACAAAATTACATCAATACACAGTTAACACCAAATATACATTATAACCATAAAATCAATAAAATCAATAAAACCAAATACAAACCCAGATTCTCCTCTTACATGGTCAGCGTTCGCTACTCATAGATCTAGTTTTACGTTCCACTTCATCAATCCTGCTGGTCTTACTCGCCTGGTTGTCTGATTTAATTGCCGGAGTGCCCAAAGGCCTGGTCCCATAACCAAGTCTTCACCCTTCTCCTAAAGGCGAGGAGGGATGATGATGCCCTGATTTCCCCCGGGAGTGAGTTCCACAGGTGAGGGGCCACCACTGAGAAAGCCCTGCTCCTCGTCCCCACCAGCCTCACTTGTGACAGTGGTGGGGTCGAGAGCAGGGCCTCCCCAGATGATCTCAGACTCCGAGGTGGGACGTAGAGGGAGATACGTTCGGACAGATACACTGGACCGGAACCGTACAGGGTTTTATAGGTCAAAACCAGCACCTTGAATTGTGCTCGGAACTGAACCGGCAGCCAGTGGAGCTGGCATAGCAGGGGGGTGGTATGCTCCCTGTATGTCGCCCCGGTGAGCAATCTGGCTGCCGCTCGCTGGACTAGTTGAAGTTTCCGAACAGTCTTCAAGGGCAACCCCACGTAGAGAGCATTGCAGTAGTCTATTCGGGATGTAACAAGAGCGTGGACCACCGTGGCCAGATCTGACTTCCCAAGGTACGGGCGCAACTGGTGCACAAGTTTTAATTGTGCAAAAGCTCTCTCAGCCACCGAGACCTGGGGTTCCAGGCTCAGCGATGAAGTCCAGGATCACTCCCAAGCTGCGAACCTGCGTCTTCAGGGGGAGTATACACCCAGCACAGGCTGTAACCCTATACCCTGTTCGGCCTTACGACTGACCAGTAGGACCTCTGTCTTGTCTGGATTCAATTTCAATTTGTTAGCTCTCATCCAGTCCGATACAGCAGCTAAACACCGGTTCAAGGTCTGGACAGCCTCCTTGGTGACAGGTGAGAAGGGGTGACAGATTTGGACGTCATCTGCATAGAGATAACATCTTAGTCCGAAACTCAGAATGATCTCTCTCAGCGGCTTCATGTAGATGTTAAATAACATTGGGGACAGAATCGAACCCTGTGGGACTCCACACAACAACAGTATAATTGCAAAGCATGGGAAGTCACCTTTCCAGATTGCCTGAAACCTTGGACATTTAATAGAAAGAAAACGAAGTTGGAGCTCCTGGTACAGCCGTACCAGCACACTGCTCGTTATCTTTCCCCCTCGTAATTACTTTCCATCCCCTTTGGCCCCAAGCCTTCCTTTGCTTTCTCATTTCCCAAAGGACTCATTTGTCCTGGGACTGTGTCATCGCTCGGTCAGTGAAGCCTAAACTTCAGAAACGTGGCCAGCGACACGTCGGGAAGACACGGGACTACATCTCACGCCAAAACAAACAAACAAACAAACAAACAAACAAACAAACGACGTACGGCTCGGCCAGCATCATGGGCAAGGCGTTCTCTTGGATCTTCGACGGCCGGTTGAAACCCATGGCATAGACGCCCTGCAACAACTGCGGCTTCCTAGGAGAGAGAACGACTTTACTGTTTTCATATTGCGAAGCTTTACAGCATTAATAATGTGTGCTTGGCAGAGAAGGAATCTGGGCGGTGGACGAAAACAATGGGAATTCAGAGGCACTGAAGAGGAAAGAGGCCTCTTTTGCGGGAAGGAGGACAACATACAAATGTACGAGGGTTGAATGAAAAGTAATGCCTCCACTTTCATAACTCAATTGTCCCTGAAGGGTGTGGGGATGATGGTGTACTCCCTGAATTGCTATCAGAGGGTTCCCAGGATTCGGGGCTTGAAAACAACTCAGCACCTGGCCCAGTTGCAGAAATTGGAGTGCCAAAGAAACTGCTTGTTTGTGGCAAGACAAGGACATTCTACTGATATCTAAGTAGAGAGACTGTATTATTTTGCAGAACCAGATTGTCCCAGCACTTGAGGATAGAACCAGTGGATGGAAAAGCCACTGGCACCGAAGACAGAATGCTGGGCAGCCTTGCTTTGCTTTCCCTCCGGACATTACAGAGCCGGGCACCAAGTCCCCCGGGCCTGCCAAGAAAAGGAGGATGAGGCTTTCCTGAAAGGAAACACATTCAGAACAAGAAGGGAAGTATATAGGTGTGACACAGGCTAGTGAAGACTATGGGATGAGTTACTTTCCAAAAGGACGGCATACTGCGTGTGTGTTTGTTCTCTATCGCTCTGGGGATGGAGTTAGAAGGTCATGAAAGAAAAAGTCTCTCTATTCTTAGAGCAGTTCCAGCCACAGAACGTGGATTGTGGTCTTCCGCAAGACAACGATTTTTTAGGAATAGTCTTAACTAGAGATCTTGCTCTTGTGCTACACAATTAATGCTCTCCTTTTCCAACTCTATGACTCTTTATAGAATCCTAGAGTTGGAAGAGACCTTGTTGGCCATCCAGTCCAACCCCATTCTGCCAAGAAGCAGGAAAATCACACTGAGAGCACTCCCGGCAGATAGCCATCCAGCCTCTGTTTGAAAGCCTCCATAGAAGGAGCCTCCATCACACTTTGAGGCAGAGAGTTCCACTGCTGAACAGCTCTCACAGTCAGGAAGTTCTTCCTAATGCTCAGATGGAATCTCCTTTCCTGTAGTTTGAAGCCATTGCATCTTAGTCTCCAGGGCAGCAGAAAACAAGGCTGCTCCCTCCTCTGTATGACTTCCCCTCCCCTCTCGTTTGAGCTGAAGAAACCTTTGGCTGTTGCTGGGAGTGGTTATGCAGCGTCCTGAAGTTGAATCCGTTTGGAGTGTCAAAGAAACTGCTTGTTTATGGCAAGACAAGGACATTCGACTGATATCTAAGTATTGGCTGTTGCTGGGAGTGGTTATGCAGCATCCTGAAGTTGAATCCGTTTGCAGTGCCAAAGAAACTGCTTGTTTATGGCAAGACAAGGATATTCTACCGATAACTAAGTATTGGCTGTTGCTGGGAGCGGTTATGCAGCGTCCTGAAGTTGAACCCTTTGGAGTGCCAAAGAAACTGCTTGTTTATGGCAAGACAAGGATATTCTACCGATAACTAAGTATTGGCTGGGAGTGGTTATGCAGCATCCTGAAGTTGGACCCTTTGGAGTGCCAGAGAAACTGCTTGTTTATGGCAAGACAAGGACATTCTACTGATATCTAAGTATTGGCTGTTACTGGGAGCGGTTATGCAGTGCCCCGAAGTTGAATCCGTTTGGAGTGCCAAAGAAACTGCTTGTTTATGGCAAGACATTCTACTGATATCTAAATATTGGCTATTGCTGGGAGCGGTTATGCAGCGTTCTGAAGTTGAACCCTTTGGAGTGCCAAAGAAACTGCTTGTTTATGGCAAGACAAGGACATTTTACTGATATCTAATTAGAGAGACTGTATTATTTTGTTATGTGTTTGCATAAAGAAGACGACTCACCGGAGATATTGTTTGTTGTATATTGGTTGAGAACAATTATTCTGTTTTGCTTTGTGTTCTTGACCTACAGTGAATAGAACTAAATTTTTGTTTCTACTGAAAGTGTATTTTTTGAGTTTTTATCACACTGAGAGTAAAAGGGGCCGAGACATTTTGTGGGCTGCTAGTGCTACTCTGACAACCTCAACAACTCCCATCAACACTAGTTGTGATGAGGGCTCTCGGAGTTGTAGTCCAGCATCTGAAAGGCCAGCGACACAAACACACATACACACAGTGTTCAAGGGGAAGGGGCGAGCGAGGGCGAACTCACAGCCGCAGCTCCTCAAAGGACTTGACGGAGTAGAGGGGCGAGTTGGGGTCGCGCTGGAGCACCTCCACCTGGTTCGTGTTGTCCACCAGGTTGCTGCGGATGAGCTTGTTCAGCAAGGACTGGGCCGCCCGGTCCTCTGGAGAAAAGGAAGGAAAGAAGCCGTGTTAGGGGTTCAATTCAAAGCTATTACTTCGAGCACAAGTTTGGAAACATTCGGGGACAGAATCCCACGGCTGGCGGAGGAGTCTGGGTCTTGTTATCCAAGCAAACCAGTTCTTTCCACTCCCCAAAAGAGGAAGCCCCCATTTGTTTTCACCCATCTATCTATGTATCTATAGAAAACTCAAAAAGTATCTATAGAAGAGCCTATCTCTCAAAAAGTCAAATAGTTTGCCTATCTATCTATCTATCTTTCTTTGGAAAGTCACAAATTATGTCTATCTATCTATCCAATGATCTATCTATGCATTGATGTATCTATCTACCCATTGATCTATCTATCTATCTACCCATTGATTGATCAATCTATCTACCCATTGATTGATTGATTGATTGATCGATCGATCGATCGATCAATCAATCAATCTACCCATTGATCTATCTATCCACTGATCTATCTCCCCATTGATCTATCTATCGATCCGTTGATCGATCTATCCATTTATCTATCTATCTACCTACCCATTGATCAATCAATCAATTAATTGATCTATCTATCCATTGATCTACCTACCTACCTATCTATCTATCCATTGATCTATCTCCCCATTGATCTATCTATCTATCTGTTGATCTATCTACCCATTGATCTATCTATCTATCCATTGATCTATCTCCCCATTGATCTATCTATCTATTGATCTATCTATCTATCCACTGATCTATCTCCCCATTGATCTATCTATCTACCCATTGATCTATCTATCTGTTGATTTATCTATCCATTAATCGATCGATCTATCTATATATTGATCTATCTACCCATTGATCTATCTATCTATCCATTGATCTATCTACCCATTGATCTATCTATCTGTTGATCTATCTATCCATTGATCTATCTATGTATCTATCCATTGATCTATCTACCTATTGATCGATCTATCCATTGATCGATCTATCTACCCACTGATCAATCAAACTATCGATCTATCCATTGATCTATCTATCAATCTATCTATCCATTGATCTATCTATCTATCCATTGATTGATCGATCTATCTGTTGATCAATCTACCCATTGATCAGTCTACCTATTGATCTATCTATCCATTGATCGATCTATCGATCTATTTATCTATCTATCTGTTGATCTATTTATCAATTGATCTATCTATCTATCCATTGATCGATCTATCTATCTATCTATCTATCCATCTATCTATCTGTTGATCTATCTCTCTATCCACTGATCTATCTATCTAGTCAAACACTATGTCTATCTATAGAAAAGTCAATCTAGCTATCTATTGAAAAGGTAAAGTTCAGCAAAGTCCATGAAAGTAAAGTCCACACACCTCTGATCTACTCCAGAAACTCAGGAATACATTGATCCAAGGCTTGGGTAAACAATCAGTAAATCCAAGAATCCAAAACCATGAAACAAGAAATATCTTAGCATGAAACGTCAAAGCAAGGCTTCCATGGAACTAGGACGAGAACTTGGCGTGATTCTAAACGATGCTTCATCTGACTACACATCCGAAACTTGAGACTTTTATCCCCTCGTTAGCTAGGTCACTAGCGGTCGGAAATTGGCTTTGTTATTGTTTTCTGTTGAAGCCTGGCACAGCGCCGAAGCCATTGCTCCGAAGGCACTGTTCGACTTGTCTGTTTTGACAAATCTCCTGCCGTCTATCTATTTGCTCATTAACTTCTGCAGGTGCTGAGTTATTTTCAAACCCCGAATTCTGGGAACTCTCTGGTAGCAATTCAGGGAGTACACCATCATTCCCATTCTCATGGGAAACTACACTTTGAACAGGGATCTCCTGGTCATTCTCGGCATCGATATCACTAATCATAGTTTTGTGTGAAAATTGTGTTTTTATGCAAAAAATGTGTTTTTACAAAAGAAAATCTCTTTTTTGGCAGAAGCCTCCCACATATGTTCACAAGTGGGATTTTGTGGATAGAAGGGAATGTGTATGTGTGTGTAATTGTGCATATACACTGGGCATGGGCAAATTTTCTAACTTGGGGCTGCGTGCTAGGACTCCCTGCTAGGAGGACTGGCTGCCAAGTGATGGAAGGAAGGAAGGGAAGGAGGAAAAAAAGATAGAAGGAAAGAAGGATGAAAGAGTGGAAGGGAAGGATGGAATGAGAAAGAGGGAAGGAAGGGTGAAAGGGTGAAGGAAGGAGGGAGGGAAAGGAGAGAGGAAGGAGGGAGGGAAGAGGGAAGGAAAGACAAAAGGGAGGGAGGGAAGGGAAGGAAGAGGGAGAAAGAGGGAGAAAGGAAAGAAGGGAGAGGACGAAAGGGTGGCAGGAAATGGAGGGAGGGAGAAAGAGGGAGAGGAGGAGGGAGGGAGGGAAGAGGGAAGGAAGGAAAGAAGAGAGGGATTAAAGACAAAAGGGAAGGAAGGAAGAAGAAAGGAGTGGAAGAGAGGGAGGGAAGGAGGAAGGAAAGGGAGGAAGGAAGGAAGGAAGGGAATGGAGAGAGATAGAGGGAGGGGAGGAGGGAAAGATGGAAGGAAAGACAAAAGGGAAGGGAAGGGAAGGGAGGGAGGGAGGGAGGGAGGAAAGAGAGGAAGAAAGGAAAGAAAGGAAGGAGGGAGAGAGGGAGGGAGGGAGGAAAAAAGACAGAAGGAAAGAAAAGGGAAGGAAGGAAGAAGGAGAAAGAGGGTGGAAGAGAGGGAGGAAGAAGAGAGAGAGGAAGGGAGGAAGGGAATGGAGGGAGAGAGAGGGGGGAGGAAGGAGAAGATGGAAGGAAAGACAAAGGGGAAGAAGGAGAAAGAGGGTGGAAGAGAGAGGGAAGAAGGGAGAGGAAGGAAGGGTGGAAGGGAATGGAGGGAGAGAGATAGAAGGAGGGGAGGAAGGAAAGATGGAAGGAAAGAAGGAAGGAAGGAAGGAAGGAAGGAAGAGAGGGAGGGAGGGAGGAGAAGGAGGAGGGGAAGAGAGAGAGAAGGAGGAAGGAAAGAGTGGAAGGGAGGGAGGGAGGGAGGGAGGGAAAGAGAAAGAAGAAGGGAAGAACGGAAGGAGGAAGGAAAGAGAAGGAAGGAAGGATAGGCTGGTGAAAGATTGGACGGCCTGAGAAAAGAGCTCAATATCACTGACCAATAGGCCTGTTTGATCAAGAAAAAATTTGTTTCTAAAATCGATTTGTAATTGGGGTGTTTTTTTGTTTCGATATTTAAAATAATTACAAAACTTTCCCCAAAAAAGTTTTGGTATTTACGAAATTTTGTAAATATTAACGAATTTTTAGAATATTTTTTGTATTTTTTAAGAATAATATTAAAATAATATTAAAAAATATTTTAAAATGGAAAATTAACCAAAAAATGGCCCAAATGTGGACCAAACACAGCCACGAGACAGCAAATGAGAGCACACACCAACAGAAGAGTCTTTTCTTTTTTAGAATATTTTTTAAGAATAATATTAAAATAATATTAAAAATAATATTAAAAATAATATTAAAAAATATTTTAAAATGGAAAATTAACCAAAAAATGGCCCAAATGTGGACCAAACACAGGCAGGAGACAGCAAATGAAGCAAGCAGCACTCACAGCAGCAAGGAATGAATCCAATCCAGTTGCTAGCCATTAGCCAAGCCAACCCAATGCAAACTCCCTCGCCCTCTGCAGCAATGAGCTACGGCCAGCCGCGCGGAGCCGCTTTGAAAGGGCTCGCCGGCCAATCAAAAACAAACAGCCACGGACCCACAGTGCACTGCTTGGGAGCGCCTGATTGGCTCCCAGGCACCAGCACTCCAGCAGCCTCCACCCCATTAACGAAACCAGCGGAAGCTCGTTAAATCTATGGGGGCTGCCGGTTCGATATTTTAAAACCCTTCCGGGTTTGGAAAACTGTTTTGATATCGCTTCAAAAATGCCCAAAATAACGAATTAATAACGAATTAACGAACGAAACCGCACAGGCCTACTGACCAAACCATTGCCATCTTGAAACTCATTGACCTCATTCCTCACATCCAATCGCAGAGCTCCAACAAGGGAAATGAGTGACAGAATAAGAAGAGGAAGAAAGGAGAAGGAAGAGGGAAAGATAGACAAGGGAGGGAAGAGCAAGGAAAGGAGGGATGAATGCGGGGGGGGGGGGGCAGATGTGCTTCCTTCAACATCTTTCTGATTTGTGCCTCAAGATTTCCCTTTCCCATAAATACATATACGTTAGTTCTTCCAAGGTGTCCCATGCAGAACCGGAATGTCCCAGCACTTGAGGACAGAACCTTCCTCCTACTCTGAAATGTACGTGTTTCCAAGGTCTTTGGCTGTTGCTGGGAGTGGTTATGCAGCGTCCTGGTGTTGAATCCCTTTGGAGTGCCAAAGAAACTGCTGGTTTGTGGCAAGACAAGGACATTCTACTAATATCTAAGTAGAGAGGCTGTATTATTTTGCAGAACCTGATTGTCCCAGCACTTGAGGATAGAACCAGCGGATGGGAAAGCCACTGGCACCGAAGACAGAATGCTGGGCAAACTTGCTTTGCTTTCCCTCCGGACATTACAGAGCCGGGCACCGAGACCCCCGGGCCTGACAAGAAAAGGAGGGTGGGGCTTCCCCAAAAGTAAACACATTCGGAACAAGAAGGAAAAGATATAGGAGTGACGCGTGTTTGGTGAAGACTATGGGATGAGTTAAATTAAAAAAGGAATCTATTATTATTATTATTATTATTATTATTATTATTATTATTATTATTATTATTATTATTATTATCGCTAGAAGTCCCCTGCTACACGTTGCTGTGGCCCAGTCTGTGTATATGTGTTTTGTGTGTGTTTATGTGTTTGGTGAAGACTATGGGATGAGTTAAATTTAAAAAGGAATCTATTATTATTATTATTGCTAGCTGTCCCCTGTATAATATATTGTTAATTGTATAATATATTGTTAATAATATAATATAATGTAATATAATGTAATATAATATATTGTATACACATATAATATTTATTATGTCATAAAGTAATGCAATATAATACTACTACTAATAATAATATAATTATATATTTATAATATAATATCTATAAATATAAAAATGCTCTGTGTGTCACAAGTACCTTAAAAACAAAAGAACCAATGAATGAAATGACACCAAATTTGGCAACAAAACGTCTCACAACACAAGGAGTGACCATCACTCAAAAAAAATGATTTTGTCATTTGAGAGTTGTAGTTGCTGGGATTTATAGTTCACCTACAATCAAAGAGCATTTTGAACTCCACCAACGATGGAATTAAACGAGTCTTGGCACATGGTTCTCCCATGACCAACAGAAAATACTGGAAGGGTTTGGTGGGCAGTGTCCTTTGGTTTTGGAGTTGTAGTTCACCTACATCCAGGCACCACTATGGACTCACAGTGATGGATCTGGACCAAACTCTACACAAATACCCAATATGCCCAAATGTGAACACTGGTGGAGTTTGGGGAACATAGAATCTTGACCTTTGGGAGTTGTAGTTGCTGGGATTTATAGTTCACCTACAATCACAGAGCATTCTGAATCCCACCAACGATAGAATTGGGCCAAACCTCCCACACAGAACCCCCATGTGGGCCACAGCAACGCGTGGCAGGGGATGGCTAGTTACTAATAATATTACTAATTCTTCATTTCCTTCCCCTTCATTTCCTTCCCTCCCTCCTTTCTTCATCCCTCTCCTTTCATTCCCTCCTTCCTTCCTTCTTCCTTCCTTCTCCTTCCTCCCTCCCTCCCTGTCCTTTTCTTTTCCCTCCTTCCTTCCTGTCCCTTCTTCCTTCTTTCTATGTAAGATATAAATACAATATTAAATGGAAGGGACAGTCAAGAAGTAACGAGAGAAGGAGGGAAAGAGGGAAGGAAGGAAGGAAGGAGAGAAGGAGGGAGGGAAAAAAGGAAAAAAAGAAAGATAGAGAAGCAAGGAAGGAGAGAAGGAAATAAAAAAGTGAAAGGAAAAAGAGAGGGAAGGAGAGAAGGAACGAAAGATAGGGAAGGAAGGAAGGATGTAACCAAAGAGCAAAGAAAGGGAGGAAAGAAACAGGTAGAGATGGAAGAAAGATGAGAGATAGGGAAAGAAAAAGAGGAAAGGAAGGAAAGAGGGAAGGGAGGAGAGAAAGAGGGAGGGAAGGTTGGCCACAGCAACGTGTGGAGGGTACAGCTAGTTATTGTTGTTGTTGTATTGTCGAAGGCTCTCATGGCCGGAATCACTGGGTTGTTGTAAGTTTTTTGGGCTATATGGCCATGTTCTGGAAGGAAGCATTCTCTCCTGACGTTTCACCTGCATCTATGGCAGGCATCCACAGAGGTTGTGATGTTTATTATTATTATTATTATTATTATTATTATTATTATTATTATTATCCTGTTTTTCTCTCTCCAAAAAAAGTGACTCATCGTGGCTTCACGGTACAACCGATCAGGGGAAGGAATAGAGCGAGGACTTTTAAAAAGTCACTTTGGGGCAAAACAGTGAACATTAGAGTGGATTTAAATGAGATGAGACACTTTTCCAAGCAAATCGCCCCCTGAAACAATTCAATCTCAGCCCCACTTTTTGGAACACATTTGGCCCTTTCCATTATAATCCCGTGACTGGGATTCTGCCATAGAAAGTTCCTCCCGGTGCTGACATGCATTTGCATTATTCGGCATTGAAGGCGTGAGCCGCGTTCTGCTCGCTCGGATGGTTTTTTGGGCTACGAGCCATAAAAGCAGCAATTTAAGAGTATTGAAACCGCTGGCGGAATTAAGCCGGGGTGTGATATCTGCGGTTTGTAATATCTGCAGTTTCCAGTGGCTGAGAGACCCTCAAGGGTCATCCAGTCCAACCCCCTTCTGCCTCAAAAACACCTTTCGATCCCTCCTGACAGATGGCCATACCTATGATAGGGAGATATACTGTATTCAGTGGTATATATGTGCGTTTCTATATATACTGTATATACTCGAGTATAAGTCTAGTTTTTCAGCCCTTTTTTTAAGCTGAAAAAGTCCCCCTCGGCTTATACTCGAGTCAAGGTTATCTATTATTTTCCTCTGTTATTATTTTTATTACATTTATTATTTTACTCTATTTATTATTGTTATTACATGTATTATTTTTATGATATTATTACTGGTATTATTATTATTATTATTACATTTATAATATTACTCTATTATTATTACATTTATTACTTTATTATTTTTATAACATTTATTATTTTGTTCTATTATTATTACATTTATTATTTTACTCTATTTATTATTGTTATTACATGTATTATTTTATGATATTATTACTGGTATTATTATTACATGTATAATATTACTCTATTATTATTACATTTATTATTTTACTCTATTTATTATTGTTATTACGTGTATTATTTTATGATATATTAAAACTGGTATTATTATTACATTTATAATATTACTCTATTATTATTACATTTATTATTTTACTCTATTTATTATTGTTATTATGTGTATTATTTTATGATATTATTACTGGTATTATTATTATTACATTTATAATATTACTCTATTATTATTACATTTATTATTTTACTCTTTATTATTATTGGAAGGATACGTAAGCACATTTACATTGAAGGAGGTTAGAACAATGGTTTAATCAGAGTTGGGCAGTCTTATCTTAAATTATTTAATCTATTGATGCCTCAATTAATGTAATTTTATTGGTATCTATTTTTATTTTGAAATTTACCAGTAGATGCTGCATTTCCCACCCTCGGCTTATACTCAAGTCAATAGGTTTTCCCAGTTTTTTGTGATAAATTAGGTGCCTTGGCTTATATTTGGGTCGGCTTATACTCGAGTATATACGGTATGTGGTTTTGCGCATGCGTTGTAATGTATTTCTATTTTTTGGCTTTTAAAGTCTCTTCTGCTGTTTTTTTCAGTGTTTTTATGGGTGATGGTCACTTGTTGGCCTGAGAGGTGTCTTGTGTCCAAATTTGGTGCCAATTCGTCCAGTGGTTTTTGAGTTCTGTTGATCCCACAAACGAACATTACATTTTTATTTATATAGACTAGCTGTCCCCTGCCAGGCTTTGCTGTGGCCCAGTCTGGTGACCTGGAAAATCAAGTAATGAGAAAGTGCTGGTTTCTAATATATGTCCTGTCTTTATGCTTGTGGGCCAACAGTATTTCTTGCTGTTTCTATGTCAGTGTTGATGTGGAGAGTGTCTGGTTTCCCTGTTCTGGAACATGCAACATGGAAATTGTCCTTCTTTAGGGGTCCTTTTCAAATCTATACTATATCTCTCTGTGTGTGAATCATTTCCATCTATCTAAGCTATGGCTGGATGGCTCTTTGTCAGGAGGGCTTTGATTACGTATTCTTGCCCTAGTGGAGGGAGTTGGACTGGATGGCCTGCAGTATGGGGGTTCTGTGTGGGAAGTTGGCCCCAATTCTGTTGTTGGTGGGGTTCAGAATGCTCTTTGATTGTAGGTGAACTGTGAACCCCAGGAACTCCCAAATGTCAAGGTCCCCCAAACTCCACCTGTGTCCATATTTGGGCTTATGGAACATTTGTGCCAAGTTTGGTCCAGATCCATCATTGTTTGAGTCCACAGTGCTCTCTGGATGTAGGTGAACGACAACTCCCAAACTCAAGGTCAATGCCCACCAAACCCTTCTAGTGTTTTCTGTTTGTCATGGTAGTCCTGTGTGCCAAGACTGGTTCAATTCCATTGTTGGTGGAGTTCCAAATGCTCTTTGATTGTAGGAAAGGGGATGGAGAAGAAAATCCCAGAAACTACAACTCCCAAATAACAAACTCAATTTTTTGAGTGATGGTCATTCCTTGGTTTAGTAGGTGCCTTGTGTCCAAATTTGGTGTCAATTCGTCCAGTGGTTTTTGAGTTCTGATAATCCCACAAACGAACATTACATTTTTATTTATACAGATTATCATCATCATCATCACAGCCATGCTCTGGCTTACCTTTCTCCTCGTCTTCGGCCTTCTCGGCATGGTCTTCGGTCTTGACCACGGCTCCTACACAAGACATGGATGACAAGCGAAGTCTCAACGAAGGGAATCGTTTCTATTCTGCGTCACAAACAAATGAGACCCCAAAACCCGCTTCCAGAAGCAGGAGGAAAAGAGGGAAAACAAACCCAGAGCAACGTACCATTGGCGTCTGGCTTGGGCTTCTCTTCTTTCAGGTGCAGGCTGCTCAGCTAGAAAGGAACACAGAAGGGGAAAGCCAAATCAACGGATTCAGCGGCATTTCGAAACATCGTTTGCAAAGATCCTGCCCGCCTTTGTCCCAGCACTTGAGGATAGAACCTTCCTCCTACTCTGAAATGTACTTGTTTCCAAGGTCTTTGGCTGTTGCTGGGAGTGGTTATGCAGCGCCCTGAAGTTGAATCCCTTTGGAGTGCCAAAGAAACTGCTTGTTTGTGGCAAGAAAAGGACATTCTACTGATATCTAAGTAGAGAGACTGTATTATTTTGCAGATTGTCCCAGCACTTGAGGATAGAACCAGCGGATGGAAAAGCCACTGGCACCGAAGACAGAATGCTGGGAAGCCGTGCTTTGCTTTCCCTCCGGACATTACAGAGCCGGGCACCAAGACCCCCGGGCCTGCCAAGAAAAGGAGGGGGTGAGAGGTTTAAGGAGAGGCTGAATGGCCATCTGTTGTGAGGGATTGGATGGTGCTTTTCCTGCCTGGCAGAAAGGAGGGGGTTGGACTGGATAACCTTTGGGGGTCTTTTCTGAATGCTAGGATTCGCTATTCCAAAAGGCCAAGGAAAGGAGGGCGAGGCCTTTCAGGAAAGGGGATGGAGAAGGAGAGCCTCTATCTTTTGTTTTTATGATAGACTAGCCATCCCCTGCCACACATTGCTGTGGCCCAGGCTGTGTATATCTGTTTTGTGTGTGTGTATATTTGTTTATATGTGTATAGATGCGGTTTTGCAGATGCGTGGTAATGTATTTTTTATTTCTTGGCTTTTTAAGTCTCTTCCTCTGTGTTTTGCAGTGTTTTTTATGAAACAAACAAAGAAAGAAAGAAATACAGAGATACATATATAAGAAGATAGACAAATAGATAGATAGAAAAATAGATAGATAGGTTCCTAGAGTTGGAAGAGAACCCAAGGGCCATATAGTCCATTCAATAAGAGATAGATAGATAGATAGATAGATAGAGAAATAGATGGATTCCTAGAGCTGGAAGAGAACCCATGGGCCATCCAGTCCAACCTTTAAAAGATAGATAGATAGATGGAGAAATAGATAGATAGAGAAATAGATGGATTCCTAGAGCTGAAAGAGAACCCATGGGCCATCCCGTCCAACCCTTAAGAGAGAGAGAGAGAGATAGAAACATAGGTAGATAGACATACAGATAGACACATAGATAAGTAGATAGCTAGACAGACAGGTAGAGCGACAAACAGATAGACAGAATCCTAGAGTTGGAAGAGACCCCAAAGGCCATCCAGTACAACCCTTAAGAGAGAGAGAGAGATACATACATACATAGGCAGGTAGACAGACAGATAGGTAAGTAGATAGATAGAGATAGGTAGGTAGGTAGATAGAAACATAGGCAGGCAGACAGATACATAGATGGATGGATGGATAGATAGACTCCTAGAATTGGAAGAGACCTCAAGGGCCATCATGTCCAACCCTTAAGAAATAGAGAGAAGGACATAGAGAGAGAGAGAGAGAGAGAGAGAGATAGATAGATAAAAACATAGGCAGGTAGACAGACAGATACAGAGATGGGTAAGTAGATAGATAGACAGGCATAGGTAGGTAGGTAGGTAGGTAGGTAGAGTTGGAACCCTAGAGTTGGAAGAGGCCCCAAGGGCCATCCAGTCCAACCCTTAAGAGATAGATAGATGGATAGATAGAGAGAGATGGACAGGTAGATAGATAGATGGATGGATAGGTAGATAGAGAGACAGACAGACAGGCAGGCAGGTAGGTAGATAGATTGACTCGTAGATAGGTAGGTAGACAGACAGACAGGTAGATGGATGGATGGATGGATGGATAGGTAGATAGATAGACAGATGGACTCATAGATAGGTAGGTAGACAGACAGACAGGTAGATGGATGGATGGACAGGTAGGTAGATAGCTAGATAGATAGACAGGTAGATAGGTAGACAGGCAGGCAGGTAGACAGGCAGGCAGGCAGGTAGATAGACAGACAGGTAAATAGGTAGATAGACAGACAGACAGACAGACAGGTAGATAGATGGACACGTAGATAGGTAGGTAGACAGACAGGCAGGTAGATAGATGGACAGGTAGACAGACAGGTAGATCGGTAGATAGAGAGGCAGGCAGGTAGGCAGATAGACAGGTAGATGGATGGACACATAGATAGGTAGGCAGACAAACAGACAGGTAGATAGATAGACAAACAGACAGGTAGATAGATGGACACATAGATAGATAGATAGATAGATAGATAGATAGACAGACAGACAGGCAGGCAGGCAGGCAGGCAGGCAGACAGGTAGATAGGTAGACATACAGACAGAGAGACAGATAGATAGATGGACACATAGATAGGTAGGTAGACAGACAGTCAGGCAGGTAGATAGGTAGGTAGACAAACAGACAGATAGATAGATGGACAAACAGACAGGTAGATAGATGGACACATAGATAGATAGATAGATAGATAGATAGATAGATAGATAGATAGAGAGGCAGGCAGACAGATAGACAGGTAGATAGGTAGACATACAGACAGAGAGACAGGCAGACAGGTAGATAGCTGGACACATAGATAGGTAGGTAGACAGACAGTCAGGCAGGTAGATAGATGGACAAACAGACAGGTAGATAGATGGACACATAGATAGATAGATAGATAGATAGATAGATAGATAGATAGATGGACAAACAGACAGGTAGATAGATGGACACATAGATAGATAGATAGATAGATAGATAGATAGATAGATAGATAGATAGAGAGAGACAGGCAGGCAGACAGATAGTTAGGTAGATAGGTAGACATACAGACAGAGAGACAGAGAGACAGACAGACAGGTAGATAGCTGGACACATAGATAGGTAGGTAGGTAGACAGACAGTCAGGCAGGTAGATAGATGGACAAACAGACAGGTAGATAGATGGACACATAGATAGATATAGATAGATAGATAGATAGGAGAGAGAGACAGGCAGGCAGACAGATAGACAGTTAGGTAGATAGGTAGACATACAGACAGAGAGACAGACAGACAGGTAGATAGCTGGACACGTAGATAGGTAGACAGACAGACAGATAGGTAGGTAGATAGGTAGATAGAGACAGACTGGCAGGCAGGCAGGCAGACAGATAGACAGGTAGGTAGATGGACATGTAGATAGATAGTTCCATAGGAAGAAAGCCACCCAGACTGAATCCTGGCACCAGGAGGGACCCCAGAGGCAATCTAGCCGTCCCCTTTCCCGCCCCCACCCGATCCCTCCCCACAGATGGCCATCCAGGCTCTGGTGGAAGCTTCCAACCAGGAGTATGCGGGGATGATGGGATGTGGATGTGCCATCCAAGGGGAGAAAGGCCTGGGCCAGCTTGGGCCTTCCCTTCAGGACTTTTGGAGCTTTGGACTCCAACTCCCATCATTCCTCACAGCCTCAGGCCCTTTCCTTTCCCCCCTCAGCCGCTTAAGCTGATGGGAGTTGGAGTCCAAAGCTCCAAAAGTCCTGAAGGGAAGGCCCAAGCCGGCCCAGGCTTGGTCTAGATCCAACTGGAGGGCCCAGGCTGGCCTAGAACAACGACAGGGCCGAGCAGGCCTCTTTTCCTCACCGACTCGGCGGCCGCTTCCTGCTCGTCCACGGCCAGCGCCCAGGAATCCGTCGCCATGCTGCCGGCCAGGGAGGAAGGCAGGAAAGGAAGGGAAGGGAAATTCAGCACTGCGCATGCGCGGCCCGCTCACGCTGCGTGCTTACGTCCTTACGTGCGTAAAGTCCGTGTGGAAACGCGCTCCTCCTTCTCTAGAGTTCCGGGGTTGCTGAGTGCCCATTGAAGGAAGACACTGCGCATGCGCGGCTAGTTCGCGCTGCGTGCTTGCGTCCCTACGTGCGTAAAGTCCGTGTGGAAACGCGCTCCTCTTTCCCTAACGTTCCGGGCTTGTTGAGTTCCCATTGATTATTATGATTATTATGATTTACAATGATAAAAAATATCATTGTAAAAATCATTATTATTATATTTGCATAGACATGAATAAATTATATATCTTATATAATATATATATGATATATAATAAAATATAATAATAGTAAAGCTGTAAAAATATTTTAATTTTAAAATATATCAAAATTATTATATTTTACTATACTATTATTATATTATTATATATTATATTATATTATATTATATATTATTATATTATATTATAAATTATAATAATATAAATTATTATATAATATAATATTATATATTATTATATTATATTATAAAATTAAAATGCTATTTATATATTTACTATTATTATATTTCTCCAGCAAAGGATCACCGCCTTGTCGGGGCGCTGTAGCTTGAGCACCTCAATGATGTCATGAGCGAAACC